TGTTGCCGGACACGAAAAAAGACAAAAAGGAAAAAAAAAAAAAAAAAGCTGCAGGGAGACTGAAGACCTGTGGACACCTAGGGCAAGAGATATGACCAGAAGAATATAATAGAACATCTCAGGCCAAGAAGAAGCTGTATGAAACCCTTTGAAAAATTAAAACTTTAAAAAGCAGCCATGTATATGGGTATAAGTGAAAGAATGAACAACAATGACAACAAAAAAAAGCACACACACAGAGACCCAAAGCAGGACATGCCCAGAAAAAAAACTGAGACCTTAAGCCATCACCTTGAGATGTTACCAAGTGTTAGAACATATCCTCTTAATTAGTGAAGGTTTCCCGTCATTCTTCAGAGACTAGAAGAGATACTGTTTTTTCAAATGACCAGCCAGTTTTCAACAAAAGATCACAATGAATAAAAAGAAACAGAAAAACATGGCACATTGCAAAGAAACAAAATATATCTCTAGAAGCCATCCCTGAAGAAACAAAGGCATCAGACTTATTAGAAAAGATTTTAAAATAACTTGTTTTAAATGTGCTGAAAGAGCTGAAGGAAACATGGACAAAGAACTAAAGGAAGTCAATAATGATGAAACAATGAGAATACCAACAAAAACCCAAATTATTAAAATGAACCAAACAAATTTTAGAGCTGAAAAATACAATAACTGAGTTGAAAATTTCAGTGCAGTGGCTCAACAGCAGACTAAAACAGGCAAAAGAAAATCAGAGAACTTGAAGACAAGTCATTTGAAATAGTCAGAGGAGTATAAGGAAAAGATGAAAAGCAAAGAGAGCCCAAGGGACTTATGGGACACCACCAAGTTGTCCAATTTAGGCATTATGAAAGTTCCAGAAATAGAAAAGAGAGAAAAAGGAGGCAGAGAGCTTATTTGAAGGAGTAATGGATGCAAACTATCCAAATTTGAAGAAAGAAATATATACACAAATTTTAAAAGTTCAACAAATTCCCACTAGGGTAAACCCAAAGAGACTCATACAGCAAAACTGAAAGGTGAAATAGACAGCTCTACAAAAGGAGGAGACATTAATACTACACTTTCAATAATGATTAGAACATTAGACAGATGATCAATAAGGAAATTTGAATAACACTATAAACCAACTAGACCTAACAGATATATACAGAACACTCCACTCAACAGCAGCAGAACACAGTAGTCCCCCCTCATTCATGGTTTCACTTTCTGCAGTTTTAGTTACTTGTGGTCAACTGTGATCTGAAAATATTACATATGATATTTTGAGAGAGAGACCACATTCACACAGCTTTTTTTTTAGTGTATTGTTGTAATTGTTCTATTTTGTTGTTATTGTTAATCTCTTATTTTTTGCCTAATATATATAGGGTTTGGTATTATCCACAGTTGTAGGCACCCACTGGGGGTATTAGAATGTATCCCTGCTGATAAGAGGGGAGGTAGTGTACATATTCTTCTTAGGTGCACATGAAACATTCTCCAGAATGGACTATATGTCTCCAGAATAGGCCATAAAATAAGTCTTAATAAATTTAAAAAGACTGAAATCATACAAAGTATTTTCTCCGACCACAATGGGGTGAAGCTATAAATTGATAATAGAAAGAAACTTGGAAATTCATAAATATATAGAAATGAAAGGCGCTCAACCAACCAACATGTCAAAGAATAAATCACAAAGGAAATTAGCAAATATCCAGAGACAAATGAAAATACAACATACCAAAACTAATGGGATGCAGTAAAAGCAGTGCCTAAAAGGAAATTTATAGCTGTGTTTATATTAAAAAAGAAAGTTCTGAAATCAACAACCTACTTTACACTTCAAGGAACTAGAAGAAAACAAACAAACAAAAACTAAAACCAAAGTCAGCAGAAGTAAAGAAATGATTAGAAAATTATAGCAGAGAAAATAAAATACAGAATAGAAAAACAGAGAAAAATCAATGAAGGCAAGAGCTGGTTCTTTAAAAAGATCAAAAAATAGATGACTAAGCCAGAGCTATTAGATAAGAAAAAAAAAAAAAAAAAAAAAAGGCATCCAAATTGGAAGGAACAGGTAAAACTATCTCTCTTCACCAATGACATGATTCTATAGACAGAAAATCATGAAGAATACAGAAGAAAGCTATTTAGCAAAGTTGCAGGGTTCAAGATCAACACAAATGCAGTTGTATTTCCGTATAGCAGCAATGAATGATCCAAAAAGCAACTTAAGAAAGCAATTATATTTATAATAGCATCCAGAAGGAATAAATCTAACCAAGGAGGTTAAAGATCTGCCACTTGTATGCTGAAAACAACAAGACATTGTATAAATAAATTAATGTGCTGGAAGACCTAACATTGTAAAGCTGTCAATAATTATTCAAAATGATCTAGAGTCAATGCCATCCCTATCAAAATTCTGTCAGCCTTTTTCACAGAAATGGAAAGGCCAATCCTTAAATTCACATGGAATTGCAAGGGACCCCGAATAGCTAAAACAATATTGAAAAGAAGAATAAAGTTGGAAGACTCATACTTCCTGACTTCAAAACTTACTACAAAGCTACAGTAATTAAAATACTATGGCACTGGCATAAGGACAGACATACAGGCCAATGTAATCAAATAGAGAAACCAGAAATACACATTCTTATATATGGTCAATTGATTTTGACAAGGTGCCATGATCATTAAATAAGGAAAGGAGTTATTTCAACATATGGTACAGGAAAAATTAGATATCCACATGCAAAACAATGAAGTTGAACACCACATACAAAAAATTAACTCAAAATGGATCAAAAACCTAAACTTAAGAGCTCACTATGAAATTCTTAGAAGAAAACATGGAGGAAAATTGTCATGACATTGAATTTGACAATGATTTATTGGATTTGATACCAAAATCATAGGCAAACAAAAAAATACATAAATTGGTTCACCAAAATTAAAAACTTGTGCATCAAAGGATACTATAGAAAGAGTAGAAAGGCAAACTATGGAATGGGAAAAAATATTTACAAATTGGTTATCTAATAAGGGATTAATATCCAGAATCTACAAAGCACTCCTACAGCTCAACAACAAAAAAACAACCCAATTCAAAAATGGGCAAATAAAAAATAAAAGGCCAAGAATTTGAGTAGACATTTTCCCACATTTATAAAAATAGCCAATAAGCACATGAAAAAGATGCTCAGCATCATTAGTAAAATGAAAATGAATATCACAGTGAGATTCCACCTTATAACTACTAGGATGGCTATGATAAAGAAAAAACAACATAGAAAATAACAAGTGTTGACAAGGATGTGGAGAACTTAGAACCCTTGTGTATTGCTGGTAAGAATAAAAGTGGTGCAGCCGCTATTGAATACAGTGTGGCAGTTCCTTGAAAAGTTAAACAGTTACCATATGATCCAGCAATTCCATTCCTAGGTATGTATCCAAAAGAACTGACAGCAGGGCCTCGAACAGACATGAGGGTGCTTCAGCAAGTTCATGGAAAAATAGAATTGAAAGATAATGACTCTTTCTATAAACTGTTTGAAGTACCCCTGTATTTGTACACCTGTGTTCATAGCAGCATTATTCACAATAGCCAAAAGGTAGAACCAGCCAAAGTATATTAGCATTCTCCAGAGAAACAGAACCAATAGGGGGTGTGTGTGTGTGTGTGTGTGTGTGTGTGTGTGTGTGTGTGTGTGTGTGTGTGTGTGTGTGCGCGCGCGCGTGCACACGCATAGAGAGAAAACTACTTGTCGAAAGGAATTGGTGCATACAACATGGGAGCTGCCAAGTCCACAACTGGCAGGGCAGATTGGAGATCCACGGAAGAGCTGATGTTGAGCTGGAGTCCAGAGGCAGTCTGTAGGCAGATTTCCTTCTTCCTCAGGAGACCTGTCCTTTCTCTTAAGGCCTTCTAATTGGACGAGGCACACCCAAATTATGGAGGGTAATCTGCTTTACTCAATTCTGCTGATTTAAATGTTAATCAAATCTAAAGAATACCTTCACAGCAACATCTAGACCAAAGTTTTTGGACAAAAACTGGCTATCATGGCCTGGTCAAGTAGACACATAAATTTAACCATCACACCAATGATGGTTTTTCTACAATGAAATATTATTTAGCCATAAAAAGGAATGAAATTTTGATACGTGCTCCAACAAGGATGAACCTTATGCTAAGTGAAATAAACCAGACACAGATGGGCAAATATTGTACGATTCCTTTTATATGAGGTACCTAGAATAGGCAAATTCATAGAGGCAGAAGGTAGAATAGGTGGGCTGGCCAGTTAGCTCAGTTGATTTTGGTAACATCAAGGTCAAGGGTTTGGATTCCCATACTTGCCAGCTGCTAAAAAAAAAAAAAAAAAAAAAGTAGACTAGAGAGTATCAAGGGCTGGGGGTAGTGGAAATGGGGAGGTATTGCTAGTAGACCAGAGTTTATGTGGGAGATGATGAAAAAGTTTTGCTACAGACAGTGGTGATGCTTATATACAACACTGTGAATGTATTTAATGCCCCTGAATTGTACACTTACCAATGATTAAATTGATAAGTATTATATTTTACCATGACAAAAAAAATGGAAAAAAGGAAAAAAAAAACTCCAAAAAACCCAAACCAACAAATAATGACCAATGTGAGAGGAAATCAACAGATTCTAAACTTTCTCAATCCCACAAATTTTGCTTGATTGAGCACTTTCAACTGACTACCATATTTTCATTAGTTTCTCCTACAATTGTATCCTTTAAGTTTGCCCTTTTTCCTTAGAAGGTCCTTGCCAGTTTTTTTTTTTTTTTTTTTTTTCCCTTTAAAAGATGACCAGTAAAGGGATCTTAACCCTTGACTTGGTGTTGTCAGCACCACACTCTCCCAAGTGAGCTAACCTGCCAGCCCCCTTGCCAGTATTTCTGATCATTGACTTCTTCCTCGTGGGATCGTAAAGAAAATTGGAATCTCATTTCCAAACCAAAATAACAGACGCCAAAAAATGTAAAGTCATGAGTTTATTGCATATGTAACAAAATGAACCTGACCTCCCGGGTCCAGCCTGCTGTACAATCGCTGTTTGTTTTGTGTTTCCAGCTGGTTCCATAACCACATTAAATAGAACTAGTATATCTTTAAATACCTTTGATTTTGACATAAAACAGAACATTAGTGTACAACTTTCACAAAATAAATCAGCAATAAAAACAGTGGGAAGAATAACAAGGATAGCAGCAATACTTAAAAACAAGACATTACAAAATAAATTAAAAATACATTATAAAGTGGTTGAGAAACAAAAATAAACAAATTTTAAAAATTCATACTATGTTTCAGGGAGGCTGCCATGCGGCACACACCTGGCTGCAGACTGGGCGGGGGCGGGGCCTGTTCTCTGCAGAAGGCCGTTCCTGACATCTCAGATCTGAGGACCACCTAACCTGAATTAGGACCATGTGGCTGAGTAAGCTTAGAGTCAAAATTCGATCTAGCGGCAGATTTCCTTTCAGAAGTCAACAGGTGACTGTCACCCCAAGCTTCCCAAGCAGCCTTCTGGCTTCTCCTACTGAAAGCACTGGCAGAGTGGTGGTTTGCTACATCCCTGAGTGTCGGCTTACAACCGCTGGTGAGGGCGAGCCTGAAAAGTTGGGCCCCTGAAGCATCTGGGCAAAGAGGTGAGGGGGAATGGGTGGGTTGTCCAGGACCACCAAGAGGCGCGACAAATGAGATCGCACATGAATGGGCGTCACTGGGACCCAAAGTGGAGCGATCAAGAACTTTAAGCATTTGCTTGCCACACTGTGTTCTTTGGGGTGGCTCAAAAGGACTGAACCATTGTATCATTTAAGGTTCTAGAAGTGCAATGCCACTGACACAGATGCCTGTTTGGAAAGAGCACATTGGAGCTCTGGAAAGGTCTGCGACACTCACACAGCTGATGATGGTGCCCGATAGGGGCTGGCAAACCCGCGTGCAAGTGCAAGAAGAGAAGCAGAGACAGGCCTTTATGAGATGTAACTCGTGTGTCTGCTGGGCTAGCCCGTGGAGGAGCCAGGATGCAGCCCTCTGGATCTTGGCGGAAGTGACACCTGACACACGAGAGGCACAGGGCTGGCGATGCAGCTTCTAAGGATCGTTCCCCACTCCTCCCAACAACAAGAAGGTAGTTTTAAAGATGTCAAATGCAACATTCCTGCTTCAAAGTCTTTTAAACCACAAGACCCTGGTTGCCTTCCTAATCACTGAATATTCTCGATGACACCACCCGGAAAATCAGGGGTGCTTCTGACCTCATTCGGGAGGTCACTTCAGTTCTCTGAGGGATGTCTTTCCACCTCCCACAGTTTAGGCTCATGTCAGAGAGAGAGCAGATCTCTCCGGGGGAGGTCTGGAGTTCTCACTTCCTCACTGTTCATGAGAAGATTGCAAGGGAAGACTGGACAGAGTCATTGGGGAGCCAGTTTCTAGAATGCTTCTTAGAAAGCATCATGGTGAATGAGATACAGGATAAGCCCAACTGAGGAAGAACTTTTGAAAGAGACTAAGCCCACAATCTGGCCTTGACTTTCTGAATGGATTATAACTCTCCTTCTGCAGCAAATCCCAGTTGGCATCCTTTTCCATCCCAGAACCTCAGTAGCCCAGAAGTGTGGGTGTCTCACAGCTCTTGGCACTGGCACCCACCAAGCTGGTCAAATCTCTTGTTCAAGGGGAGGGTCTATGACATAAGAAATTTGAGCGCTCCCCACATCAAATCACACACACTGCTTTTGGGGCAACCAAAAGACCCACTGCAGGATGCAGAAGGGTAAGTATTCCTCCAAACCCGCCAGTCTAAAGGTAACAGCAACAAAAAGAACGGGTAAAAGTCATCCAAAAGGTCCCCCTAATCCATCTCACACCCTCAGCTGGATCCCAGTACTTAATTCAGAAACTTCCACAGCAGTGAGATATCATGCTAATGAATTACCCTGTACTTGCCCCACTCCCAAACAACAACGACAACAAAACCAGACAGAAAAATGTGTTGCTGCTGCTGTTTTTCGTTGGAGTTTAAATATCTGGACTCAAACCACTTTTGCTAAAATAACATACAGTTTGTACTTTTGTGCAAATTGGAAATGGTGTTAGAAACTTAAAAGAGTGTAGGCTTACTTTGGCCTTGATCATCATATGAAGACATTTGGGCAAGTGAATCGAGTAGCAATCATTAGTGTCACCATCTGCTATTGGAGAAAAGGGCCACATGGGTCAGTGTAGAGTCACCCCCTCTCTGCTGTCACGGGTTTAAATTCCCATCCTACTTTTTGTAAAACAATAACTTCAGGTGGATTTAGGTCATCAGGGTTATCTGTTCCCCCTCTCCCTTTTAAGCTAGTTTATACCAAGCCAGCAGCTATGATAACAGAATTTTGTTTTGTTAGATTAGCTCTTAGCAGTTACCACGTAATACTTTGTTAATATTCCAAGTGACACAATCAATGCTCTTCTACATACAACAGTGGCACAGGAGTCACAGCTTTGGGACTGACTCGTTGGATCTGAGGCTGATTTTGGTCTGTTCTTTTATGAGCTCCCTAAGGTGGTATTTCACTGGAAAAAAAAATCCAAACGGGATAGATAATGCAGCAAAAGGGACTCCTTAAAAGGAAAGACCATTTTTTTCTGTGCAAAACAAATTTTTCAGCCAGGATACCCTGAAAAGAAATACCCTGGGCCTCCAGCAAAAGCTACTTCAACTCCTTTACCTTTCAAAGGGGAAACACATTTTGACTCAAGCTTCCTGTGGTGGCAAAATTCCAATAAACATAGTATACAGTTATTTTTCAGTTAGAAATTAATCTGCTACCCAGAACAGGCTGCTAGGATGTAAAATTTGGGGTTTGAGCTCTGGTAAAATATCCGGCAGCTTCTGAACTTGAAAAAGAGCCTCCAGGCTGTTTTGAGAGGGAACAGCTGGTACAGCTACCAGTCCCAGCCCCTCAGTGAGCCGAGCTCAGTCCTGAACTGTGGCTGCTGCTCCTATCGAGAGCGCAGGGCAGTGAGCCTTATCTCCAAGTATGTTGCCACCACAGCAGGGTTCCTGTGTGACCGAGGCCAAGGCCTAAACCTGGCTGCATTTGATTGGATGGGTGATGGAAGGGGATGGGAATACTATGATAAAGGAGGGATTTATGGGTGGGAGCCACCAACAAAGGTTCCTGCCCCCCTCCCTGCCTCCATGAAAGGGAGGGAGACAACCCTTTTCCCTCAGGTTATCTGGAACCCCAGGGCCTCAGGCAGTTCTGCGGGAGGCGCACAGAAGCTATATGCTTTTGGTCTGGTGGTCGTGAGCTAGAATCGGTTGCCTTTGGTTGCTCTTCACTCCACAGCAAACCCACAAGTCTCCTCTACTGCTGTCAGCAGCTTCTCGTAGAGCTTCTCGTAGGACTCATAAGGTGGAATGTCGATCCGATTAAAGCTGGAAAAGGACAAAACAGCAAGAGAGTCACTGCTGGGGCAAAGCAGCCTTAGGACCCACTTCAAGGTCAAGGACAGGCAGGAGTAGAGCGTTTGCAGTGTGGGGGTGGAAAGGAGGGGTGGGGATGGTGGGGCACACAGAAAAATAAATCTTAAGGCATTCAAAAACAAAATATAACCAAATTACTACTCACTGCTTATATTAGGACAAAGCTCTCAAATTGTTTTTTGTTTGGGAGAAATTATTTCTCTGTACCAGAAATACCCCCCTTGCAGACCCCTGTCATCCAGACTGGCTGTCAGTCAAGTCATCACTAACTATTTACTGCATGTCTCTCTACTCTTCTGGGACTTGATCTGGGACCAAAATGGGGCCATCTGGAAAATTCCCTGCAAAAGCAAACTATACCTCAAAATTAATAAAATGTCAAATCCCTGAAAGATGAAATGAATATTAAACTTTTGGCTCAATATTTCCATGGGGAAATTCTCTTCTAGTATTTGTGCAAAGAAAAAGACATCCTTCATGAAGGATGTAACAAATCAAAAAATACAAAATTGTGACCCAGAGGACATATTGAATTTATAAGGGTTAAGCAATTAAGGATGTTTTTTATTGAGAGTAAGGTTAAATGGTGTGCCACTCTTTTTTTCTGGAGCTTTACTGTCAGAGGATATTTTTAGTATCTGTTTTATTCCAAGCACTAAGCTATTAAGGGACAAAAGCCTTATGAATAGAGAGCAGCTGCCGTCAACATGGCATGTTCCCGTAACAGATACCACAAGCCACACTCAGGGCAAGGCCTTCATATCCATGACAGTTCTAGGAATAGCTGTATTTCACAGATGTGAAGTTACATAAGTAATTTGCCCCAAATCACATCGTTAGAGAGTGTCCCAGCCAGCATTTGAACCCACATCCGTGGGATCCAAATCAGGAACTTTCCCACATGTCATGTTGCATTTCAGCAACATCTGGAAGTGGTTCTCCTGAAGTAGAGGTGGCTGCTCTGCTCAATAAGTGGTTCAGAGACAAAGTGTATGTAAATGATCAGGTTTTTAAACCCTAAAGAAATACTCCACTATGGATACTAATTTTTAAGTTAAAATTTAGGGAGAAAACATTTTTCAATAGACAAGGTGCCTCTGTCATAGGCAAAACTCTGAAGGAAAATGGCGACCCAGAAATGTCAGTCCCAACTAAAAACTGGACAATTTACCCTGCTGATGGGTGCACACCCACACACATATATGTATCAGGACCCACTGAAGACAAGATGAGGCCTGTTGGAGTGGTAGCCCCATGTTGTTGCTGAAACATTGGCAGTAATTAATGACGTATCTCACAACAAACTTGGTTTCCCAAAAGAGACTTCTGATCACCCTCACATGTAGCACACTGCAAACTACTTGTCCCATTGCACACAAGTGCTACTGCGTAAGTGACTTTGCATAAATGAAAGGCAGAGACCTACAAGTAAGAAAATAGCTTAAAAAAATAACGTGAATGTCCACATCCTCTGGAGACATGCTCCCCGGACACAGTGACTCCACAACAACAGTCCTTACCAGGTATGGGCCTTTGGCAGGTTGTCTGTGTTGGCATCTATTAGGTGGATGGTGAATAGCCGGGGCCCTGCTGCGCCTGTAGAACCTTACGAGACAACATTCTAGTTAATGCACTTCAGGGATGAAGCCCCGGCGCTTCCCGGCCACACAGCTCCCAGACCACACTCTCAGCCCCAACACCAGGCAGGCTGTTCTGCTACAGGGGCACGGATTCACGTAGCAACACAAGCCTCTGCCTGGATGGCCATCAAGTGACAAACATCAGACAATTTAGACCATCACAGGCAGCAGCGAAAAGACTAGTGAACATGCTCCTAAATATACCCTGACCACGAGCCTGCTACAGAGCTGATATCTCTAGGTTAAATCTGTTTGTCTTGCCCTTTGGATAGAAGGCTTGTCAAGCAATTCTGGGGTGGGGGTGGGGGAACAGGCACTGGGCTCCACTGGGCCCTTCCTTGCTCAGGTCTTTCCAAACTCAACCCCGAATGGGCACCACACTGGCCAGCACCTGCCACTGCCGCTGTAGAGATGGGGACCAACCCAGGCAGCGTCCCCCCTGCTGATTGATGAGGGCTGCAGGACACTGGGAAGGGTGGTTGCAGAGGCTGCTGAGCCTTGTGTTGCTGCTATTCACTCCTACATATTCACAGACATGCCTTTCAACCTGGGCAACGGCCAGCAATGCCTTTAGAGGCAGCCCTGGAGGCCAGAAGAGATGACAGCAGGCAAGAGACCACCATCTTTCATAGAGGGAAGAAGGTCTCTTGCTATGGCCACTGGGAGATGAGTGCAGCACCCACTGTCACTGGCACCTGGAGCAGGGAGAAGCTGGCTCCTTTGTCTCCAGGCCACTCCCTCTGAGCCCCATCTCCTGGGGAGTCGGGGCAGGCTGTGCCTGGAGTGCTTCTGGGGAGACCTCCTGCTGGGCCCTGGCCACTTGGTGCCTGGCCTGTGTCCCTGTGGTTGGATACCCTGGAATGGAGGCATCTGTCTCCCACCCTGCTCTGCAAGCAAGCAGCGTTCACACTCCTGCCCACAGCACTGGCACTCCCTGTACTGGACGGTGACCCTGTCGGGTGGGCCCCTCATCACATCTGCTCTCTTGTGTGGGCTGACCTGCCTGCTAGATACTACACAGGCATTTAGCTGAAGTCCATCTGATTATGGAGGATATCAATAAGATCCTTTTAACAACAGGGACTTTTCCTAAACAGTAAGGAGACTTCCTGTGGGAAAGAAGATAGCCATGTAATGAGAAAAGAAAGATATGGAGTCACAAAATCTGGACTCCTGCCCTGGCTTACCACTCACCACCTTACTAATTTTCTCTTGGGGAAAAATAAATCCTATGACCTCAATGAACGTCAGTTTCCTCATATGTGTGGTGGGGAAAATAATACCTGCTCAGTTAGGCTCTCTACGTTGTTAGGAGAACTGAATGAGAAAGGGCTTTGTAAGTTACCAAGCATCAACAAGCACTAGTAGTCGTAATTATTAAGCTGGTCAAGCAGATGGAGGCTCCCATATACAAGGGGGGCTCAGCCTAGAACCCCTTTTTTATTCAGGCAGAAACCCCCTGCAGCGATTCTACAGGCAGAGGTCACTATGGAAAAGGCACAAGTACCCTTATGAGCAAAGCCTAGTGAGACAGAATAAACCTCTGTTCACTCAAAGAGGTTCTCGAAAGTCAGAGTGAATGTTCTGTACTTGTAATATATCTGTACGTCTATTAATATTTAAAGTTCGATTAGCTAAATTTCAGTATATTAACATACCTCACCTTCCTCCTCCCAGCTATCAGCAACAGTCCCTCCAAACCCTAAGTGTAAGAGATGACATACCAGGCTGCCAGCCCAACAGTCACTTTGGGACCGTTCCTAAGGAACTCCCTGCCTTGAGCGGTGACATCAGTGGCTTAAAGAGAGTGAGCATGACATCCTCTTCCTTCAGTGGATCTTATGGCTAAACAGGGCTTCATCTGCAACTTCTAGTTGTGGGGCCACTACTCTCCACCGGTCTTGGGTAAGCTGGCCTCTCAGAGATGGAAAATGATGGTCCACACCAAATACCTTGAAGGCTGGTCAACCTTCGTGAGGTTCCTGGAAGCAGTGAGGAGGTGGAACCCATGTGCCCTGGAGTGGCTCCATGGCCTGTGCTTGGCAAGGACACCACACCTGCCTACAGATGGCACCTGCCAAGTAAGCACCTCCACAGTGCTGAGCATTTGTTACCAGAGAATGTTTATTACATTGGTGTGTAGCAGGTGTTTCAGAAAAACAGCCCAACCAATTCCAGCTCTTCCTGCCCTGGCCTGCTATGGAACACACCCAGTACAGATGCGTAATGGAATAGCCCTGCCTCCACGTCAGTCACCTTGCAGAGCCTTGAAGCCTTGGAGAGGAACTCGAGTTGATCCAGTCACAAACTGCAGCAGCCTGGCCCTCCTTTCTTCATCAAAGGTCTCCACTGCTTGCCAGAACCACCTGACGATGTTGCTGTCGGCCACACAGTGTTTCAGCCGAGTATTTGACTTCCAGTCATTCAAGTCTATTTTATCCAGGCCACCTATTATCAGCTGTGAAGGTGTTTATAAAGGCAAGTTATTTCCAAAACGTATAAACCAACGTCATGATGTGCCTCCTAGGTTTCCAGTATACGAACGGAGTTAAAAACTGGGTTTCCAAAGCAAAGACGCAGCTGTTTCCAAATAAACAAGACAGATATTTAGACAGGGAGAAAGCTGTTCAGAAACAGCAGGCCCGAAGCACCATGCTTCAATCTTTCTGCTACCTCCAGGCTGGTTTTTGACCCCAAGGACTACAGTGCACGCTACTGATGTGATGTTAGCTTATAAGCCAAGTTTGTGTTTTTGCTCTGCGTTGGTGAGGTGTGAGTCCACCAAGACAGAACAGAGCAAAATGTGAGTTAAAGCCACATCACAGTGGTCTCTCCAGGACATTCAAGGATGTATGGAATTTAACGTCCAAAGAGAACTCAGCAAGAGTTAACGTGGGGTTAGGGCAAATGGAGCATATTTCCAAAACTTCTTTAAGAGTTTGCTCCAGAAATAGTGCTCCACCCAAGGGAGTGCTTCTTGGCTCACAAGCTCTCAGCATCTCACTCCAGGCAGAGAGACTACGAGAACAACTTGAAAGGCCTGAGCTATCTGGCACCAAACAGAGATGGATAAGGGATGAATGCATCACTGTATTCAAATACATGAAGTATGATTACAGAAGACAAATAACACTTTGTTCTTAGTCTAATAATAGCCAGGATAAAAAGCAAAACATTGAAAAAAAAATGAAAAACTCAAAATTCTCATGGGAGAACTGGGTTACATATGAGATAATTTCTTTGATCTGAGATGACTACCCAGGAGAGGGCTATGGAACCTCCACTGTTAGAGATCCTGAAAATGGGAGAAGGCACTAATGCCTTGAACAACTTCCTGAGAATCATCCAAATTCACTGCCGCCCAGTGGACACCTCGCCTTGTTACACACTGGCACAAACACCTGCGACGCCCCTGCTGGCTCCAGCCCTGACTCTGTGTTCTTCTGGGAAGCTGACAGACTCCTGGGCCTGTTGGCAGAGTGCAAGCCTCACTCTCCAGCAAGGGTTTAACCAGACAAACACCTGCCGCATCTGAACCCGCAAAGGCCCTGAGTGGATTAAGCACGTCGAGCACATACCTCCAGTTCCTTCTGGTCAAAAGGCTTCAGTAAGTGTTGAGGAATGAGTTCATTGAACCCTTTCTGAAGAGCTAAGAACTGGGCTTCAATTCCTCTCATAAACCTCCAATTTACATATAACCTGCAAGAAAAACTCTCAAGTTGGAAGCCATACCAAATGGATGATGGAAAAAAGCCTCTTTTCCTCCATTAGCAAGTTCTGATGTCACAGTCCAGCAAACATGTGAACGCAGTGCAGGCAGACCCTGAGAGCGGCCCCAGCCTCTCCAGCCCTCCCCACTAAATCAAAAACCCCACCAGCTGGAAGTACTTGGCCTTAGTATCAAGTTAAAACTGAGTCAGCATAGGCCCTTATACATTCTATTTCTTTACTAAAAACATCAGTAGGATTTAAATATGACCTGTTATAGCAACTGCCATAATTTAAAGTACATTTGAAAGTAAAATGCAGGGCAGTGTGAGAACTATGCATGTGTCTGAGCATAGACGCGCCCACATGCTTCTAAACTTCCAGTGCAAGTGACTAGTCCCTTACGTTGATTTACCTCCAGTGAGGGGTGGAAAACAGACCAGAACAGAGGAGACTTCCTTGAGACTGATCACAAGGAACCCTCCAGGTTGTTGCTCTCTCCTGTGCTCACCACCTCTGCATCCAGAGTCAGGATGTCACTTCAAAGTCCTTCTCCCGCTTGGGCTCTGTCCCTTTGACAGGCTGGCCCTGGCCACATCAGGGCCCCTCCAAGCAGAGACCTCACTGCTGCTGCTGAGCCTGATGTCTCAGTTAAAGTGACTCTGGTTACAGGTGCCACCAGGGACAGATAAGCCTCACCCAGTGAAGGAGCTATAACAATCTAAACCCTGCCATGTGCAGGGCAGCCCCGGGCAGGTGGCTATTCCCCACAGGTGACCACTGAGGCTCCCCTGGATTTTACCGCACATATTCTTTCTTGTTCTCCTCTGTGACAGGCACGTTTCTGCCATTGGGTTTCAGTTCATGCTGAAGAATCCGCCCGAAAGCATTGTGCTCAACGCAAAAAGTGTGGTCCAGCACAGGGGTGATGTCGTTCTCTCTGTCGAGGTAGGGCACAAGACGATGTCAGTTAGACATTTGCCACCACGTGGCAATGAACAGAACATTACATGGGGAAATCAGCAGAAAGAGAGACAGCCTTTACTGACAACCACACCCAGAGATGCAGGAGAGAGAAGAGGACAGCTGCAGGGGGACACGGAACCTGTGCGTGGGCAGGGGGGCGTTGGTATTGGAAAGAGCTGGGGGCCCACAGCTCTAGTTCCAGATGCCCCTGACTCCTGGCTTTCTCAGCCATAGAGGGAAGGTGATGGGTCGCTCTACCATTCTCTGCATTTATGAGACATGCAACCTAACTGCGCTGTAAGCTGAGTCGGGGAACAGAGAGGAGGGAATCATGAGGAGGTCACTGAGAGGAAGGGAGGCCAACCTGGAGACAGGCGCACCAAGGAAATGCTTCTTCCCCTCTTTGCACAGCCTTTTCAAATGCTTCAGTTCGAACAAAAAAGCACTTGAAAGTTAAAACTACCTCTTTAATTCATCATATTTCTTAAAAACATAGAGTGGAAGATTTTGTACAGGACTAAGGCCCTAACTCCCCCAGACTCCCCACCTGAGGATAGAACACATGAAACACAGAACACAATCGAGAGGCCCAACTCCCACTCAGATCAGCTTCCCCTGCCCTTGTCAGAGCCTGGATCTTTCATTCCTGTGAAATTGGCTCTTTCACAAGATACCTACAGTTCATTTTGTCTGCCTACTGCTCTTAAGAGTGCTTAGCATAGTTTGAAAACAAAGGTAACTAAATATTAATTTTGCTTTGATACTTTCTTGGCCCCTCTATAGATTAACTGGAGACACTAGGGTGTTGTGCATACATGTGTGCGCACACACACACACACACATGCCCCCCCCCCCCGAGGCCTGGGAACTAGCCTATTAAGATTTGTGATTATACCACATAATTCAAGGAAACAACAACAAAAAACTAGTCCATGAAGAAAAACTGGCCAAACATCTTGAGGATGGCAATTAAGTACTGTTTGTTAAATCTGCTTTTTTGTTTCTGGTTGTAATACAATTCTTTTATTTCTCTTCTCTAATTTCACATCCATCCCCTAAATACACACGAACACACAGAACAAGTGTAGTGGCACACGTTAAGGCAGGTAACTATATATGAATTTCCAATTAACTAAACGTGAGTCAGTACTTACAGAATCCACACTAAGCTCTTATGTAGTTCTGGGTCCACTGATTCCAAATCGGAGAGCTGGATGGGTTTCCCCAGCAGCTGCTTATAGAAGGGGACTGTGAACCCCCCATTTATGTAGTGTCCGTGGAACACAGCCAGGCCCATGATCCGACCCACGAAGTGGAAATAAGACAAATGGTCCTGTAGGGGGCACCAGAGAACATGAATTCAATAGGAAAATGACCAACCAAGGTGGATATCCGGTAACCAAGGGTTACACTCACAACCAGATAAAATAAGGCTGCTTGGGTGGTCAAAATTTACAGCATATCTTTTGTATAGATTAGTTGGACAACATTTTGTACGCTCATGGGTCCAACACCTCAAAACTGCTACACAACTTGCAGTAGCCCAGTGCAAAATAAAAACGTGGAGCCCCTTCTTCAGAAAATATTGAGAATGTCAATATGGTGACAGCAGAGAACGAAACCAAGCACGGGCCTTTGAGCGCAGGGCCTTGTGCACTGTACAGACCGCACATCCAGGAAGCAAGCCCGCTTTCCTTCCCCTGAGCACAAAAGAAATGAGACAGGGCTGCCCCCTTCTGCTGCTGCTGCCCTTTCCCAGTCCCCCAGGAAAGAATAAAGGAACACAGAGAAAAATGAGTATGAATGAGCCAAGTAAAAGAATCATTCTAAAACCAGAGCAGTTCTGTTTTTATCTGTAGGGAACCTCAAGTTTCTACTTTCAGGTTTGAATGATAATCATCTCAGAAAATTAGTCAAAACTTTGTTTCCATGTTGGGAAAAGACTTTTCCACATTTGAATTCTCAAGTATGGTTTGTCCCTGACTTTGCCTCAGTGGCCTTGTGCACAGCACTCATGACAGATGTAGCTCCACAGGGACAGTCCTCCACTGGCCTGCTGCCAACCTTGTACCGGTCACTCAAACACTGCACGTTTTTCCTCATCTCTAAAACAAGCGCACTAAAGGTGTCAGCATTAGTGGCCAAAAAAGCCAACTATGGAAATATTCCAATTTTGATTGGAAGGAGGATGGACTTTCTAACCCGCTTCTCAGAATAACACCTTGACAAGTATGGTCATCGTATCAGAGTTCTCTCAAATGGCAATTAAATGTCTGAGTGTATAAGTAGCTAAATTTCATTCTTATTCTCCTTGAAAACAACATATCCAATGATCCCAAGCACTAAAAATACAGGATTGAAGTCATCCATCTTAATCCAATTCTCATTCAACCTTTCAATGTTTTATGTACCATAGTCTTTGATTAAGTCTACAATGAATAAACCAAGAATTGAGACTAAAAGTGAAAATCCATCCTAAAAATTGTCTAACTAAATTTCCAACCTCTTTATTCATTAATACTTACAGGGTTAATTGAAGAATCTGGGTTGATTTGTAACATGTAAATATTATCCGTAGAATACTGGAAGAGTCCATAATATGGATTCAGCATTTCATGGCACAATAAATAAAGCCACTCCCTAGGAACAACAGGAAAATATTTTATATGTGCTCACATTTCTAGTTTTAGATCTTAACAAAAGGACTAATTCACTATGCCCTAGAAGGCCAAAATGAGCCACTGGTAAGGGCGCCTGGCTCTGAGAGGAAGCGATTTGTACAGATTGGGCAAACAAGCTGAATAGAACTCCCAATACCTAGAAGAGCACCCAGAAGCAACTCATGAATACTGAATTATTCCTCACCACAAGATGACCAAAACAACAATAAATCTGCAGCTGAAAAAGGCTGACTAGAATCAGTATCATCGTAAAAGTCCAGTGTTCTCAGCAGTTTACTTGCCGGCTTTCCTGCACCTCAGCTAAGATTTTCTGATACTTTGCAAAGATCAAAATCACAAGTGATGATGTTAATGATGTGGCACTAACTCACAAAAGTGCAATAAAAAGCAGTATCATCCCATTTTAACAGTAATTAACTTGAGTATTAGAAGTCTGGGACAGGGCTGGCCGGTTGGCTTAGTTGGTTAGAATGCAGCCTTATAACACCAAGGTCACAGGTTTAGATCCCCATACTGGCCAGCTGTTCACTCCCCCCCCCCCAAAAAAAAAGAATTCTGGGTCATTTTCATTTTTTCAATTGCTTATTTCTAATTTTCAAATTTTCTACAGTAAAATGTTTCATATGAGAAAACATTTCAACGTCTAGGGAGGCAGCAAGGGGATTGTTTAAAAACAACTTTATGCCCTTTGTAATTTTCTGTTGAATTCTTATTTTTTGCCATAGACATTTTCACTTTCATAACTTAAGAAACTACTTGAAATCTTAAAAATATTAATTCTAAGAGTTATAAAATCTCCATAAGGTACATAAGTATTAGTTATATTTTCTGAATTCCTTTAATGTTTGAATCACTTTTATTATTTAGAAAAACTCTAAAATCAAAAACAGTCAAACAAAAAAAGCCCTTTAAGTAGAAACTGCATGATTCAGGTGCTCTGGTCAGGTGTGATAAGTCCAGGTATGGAGGGGACCCTTCCACAAACACCTGTGGCAGTTCTACAAATAGCCTTTTATTCTTTCTACTCAAAACTCCTTTCAAATGGATGAATCTCATTAAGATAATAGCCCAAAATTTTATTCTGAAATTTCTTAATCTTTCAAACAAAAAAGACACAGAAATGAGACAGAATAGGGAAGGATAAGCACAAATGCAAATTATATGTACAAGAAAATTGTGAGAATACATAAAAAATGATCAGACCAGTTCAGTTACGTATGGCACCCAAAAGAACAGAAAGGAGCTGCCTGAGGAGATGAGACACTGGTTCTTATAAAGTCTCCTTACTAGAAAGACAAAATTGCTCAGCTACTGTACTTTAATTCATCTCCAAGTTTTGGCATTTGATTTCAGAAGAACCTTTTCCAAAAAAGCCGAGGACCTGCAACTGTCCAGACAGGAAGTGATTAGAACACAAGTAAACATTCTGATGAGCCACGGACAACGTAAAGATATATTTAGGTATGTTCTGGAAGTGGTAAGGGAAGAGCTACTGAATCAGGCACAAGAGAGAGGACAGAAATGGCTTCAGGACCAAACACTGGGAAGGTCAGTGTAGACTGATTCTCACGGACCAGATAACCAAGACATGCACACACACACATGTGAAATACATGTGTAATTTAAATCTCTCTACAGTTCTCTGAGATCAGTATAATCCCATTTAGACAAAGGGAAGACTCCAAGAGGTGAAATAACAATGCAGGACCACACCAGAGGTGGTGGAGCTAGGAGTTAAGCTCTTCCCACTGTGGCATCATCTTAATCAAGGCAGCTACAAAGACTTACCTTCACGTGGAAGATCAGATAACTATGGAAAAGGCAGAAGGAATGTAACTCCTACCAGACCAAACCATGCTATTCACATGCGTGCCTAGGAATACACAACACCAGCCATGCAAAAGAATCATGGTAAAATGAAATAGTTTGAGACATTGAACTCTGGAGACATCTTGAGCCTATGAAAGAAAAATCACAGATAAGAACAGGGAAGTAGTTTGATTTCAATTGTTAGGACAAACATGAATAACTAAGTAGGAAGATTCTCATCTAAAAAAAGCAGGGACAGAAAGCCTAAACCTCTTGCCAGGAAATAGAATTAGTGTTATTAAGGGCAAAAAGAAGTTATATTTTGCCAAAAGGAAGATGGTTTCTAGAATTAAGATTGAAGAGATCAAGGGAGAAACTTGAGATAAGAATTTGTGAATGGTAAAGGTATGAGGCCCCCTGTCGCGAGGGTGGGGCCACTATTACACATCCTCATAGGGACACGGGTCCTCCCTTGTGGCACCTACAAGAATTGTGGTTTTGTATTTACTTGCATAATTCTTTGAGTAATGCCTGGACCTCATCAGACTGAGAGCACCTTTGCATGAGGCAGAGAACATGTTGTTTTGCTCAATGTTGTATCTTGGTACCTACTACATGGTAGAGTCTCAATATCTAGTGGTTAATGAATAAATACAATTCTTATGGGGCATATAAATTATAGGGGTGGTCTCTCATGAAAAGATTCGATAATGTAATAGACACGTTAATTTAATTATTTCATTTTACATTTTATTACAATAGAATTCAATAAATGAGTATGTTATGGTGATTTAAAAAACAAGAATGTAATGGATTGAATTATGTCCACCAAAACTCACTGAAGCTTGAATTGTGTCCCCCAAGTTTCATGTATTAGAAACTTGGCCCCCACTGTGACTGTTAAGAGGATGGGAAATCCTATTATGGTAATTGAAAGGTGGAGCCCTGAAGAGGTGATTGGATTGTAGGACTGTGCAGTAGTGAATGGATTAAAAATGGTGGTCAGGGGCACAGTTCTGAGGGCTTTAAAAGAAGAGAGAGTCTGTCTCTCTGTTCTCTCTGCTACCACCATCTTGCAATGTGAGACCCCTGGGTCGCTGTCGCCATCACGAGCTGGACTTTGGACGTATCGGCCTCAGAAACTGTAAGCATAAATTTCATCGTCTTTATAAATTACCCAGTTCCAAGTATTTTGTTATAAGCCATGGAAATGGACTAATACAAAGACCAAAAAAATTTGAAGCACTGGAAGACAAGTTGAGGAAATCTAGAAAGTAGAAAAAGAGAAAAACGGCAAAGAGATGAGGAAAAAAGAAAAACTATGAGAGAGACAGAAACTATCAATCCAGGGATCCAATATCTGAGTAACAGACATTTCATAATGACCAAAGAAAGGAAATGGAGGAGAGGAAATTATTGAAGTAAAATACATTCATCTGGTAGATGTTATCGACACAAGTGCTTGCTATGTGTTAGGTGCTATTCTAGGAATCAGGACTCAGCCATGAACAAGATAGAGTTCCTCAATGAGTGTGGTTTGTATCTGTTGGGAGATCCAGACAAGACCAAGAAAGACCATACAACACGACCCGTGAGGTGGTGACAAGGGCTGCTAACTCAGAGAGTGGTCCGGGAAGCCTCTCTGAAGGGGTGACGTGTGGGTAGAGGCCCAAGTGAACTGACAGGCCAAGCTACGTGACTATCTTGGGGAAAACAGCTCCATGCAGTCGGAACATGGAATGCATGCCTGTCTGAGGAAAGGGGACCTATGGCAGGATGTCAAAAAATGTCACATGTACCACTGTCCTGGAGGATTTTGAAGTATAAGAGGCAACGAAGATAGACAAAACCTGGTTAAAAAAAAGAAGAAATTCTTGGAAAAATTTAAATTTGTTCAAAAAGATAAATTATAGAATACTATTTAAGCCCTTACTGAATAATATTTACATTGTCATAATAATATAAACAATGGATGACTGTCAACCCTTACAAATAACAGATAGACAAGCACAGGAGACTGACTTAATTTTGGTTATGGAACACAATGTAAATCTTCCGTTTTTTATGAAAATGAGACGTCAGGAGATAATGTCTCAGGTGACGAATCAAAAAGTAAATGACTACTTTATGGTGATTTAAAAAAAACAAGACCAAAAACAATTCGAAGCACTAGAAGACAAGCACATTATACAAAGTTACAAAGACGAATGATAGAAGAACTAAACATACTGATATCACTAAACTGGGAGGTGAGAGCATTAAGTTAAATCCTCACCACCATGATTATCCAGCCTACCTTGTGTCTATGAGCACAGATCATTAAATCAGGAGATAATAACCTGAACTTACTCAACTGAGTGATATAAAGACATCTATTACAAGAAGTGGCTGCAAGTAAAGAAGCAGCTGTCTCCAAGGGCAATCGAGGTGGCACAGGAAACAGTAGCTTTTTAAATCATTTGCTTCAGTTATTTTGACCAAAATTTCCAAATTTCATTTTACAAAATTCCTTTGATACAAATGCGATTTACATGCCCCCCCCCCTTTCCTGCAGGAAATTCTCTAATGAGAAAAGCAAGGCCACCTCCCATATTAATTTCAGGAGCAGGTCCTTCATGTTTCAGGTTCTGACACACTAGATGAAGGAGGAGATAAGTTTAGAAGTTTAACTCTAGCTTTACAACAAGTGAATTAATGGCAACGATCACATACATTCTGATGAGGTATGACAAGCTGCTATTGTACATGTGCTCAGGAATTGTTATTCTGAGAAAGCTGGCTGAAGCCAGCACTTGATGTCCTGACTGGTCCAAGGTGACATCAGCACCAGAACTGTCCAGGTGTGCTCAGTGATGAGGCATTTAAGAAGAAAGGGGCAAACAACTTCTCCCGGAAAAGTTACAGTTATGCTGAAACCTGCGCAGTAGAAAAGCGTGGATAAGCCGGTGCCTCACCTCGCCACGCCACCATAATCCAAACCCTCCTCTCCACGGAATTTCACCATTAGTCGTTTTTTCAAGTCTTTAGGTCGCATCTTCATTATCTGGCGATAAGACTCCTACATATCAAAATTACAGTTTCAGAAAGAACATTTCTTATTGTTAAAGTTATAAAAAGATGAAAGATTATTGATAATGGAGCCTGATTTAAAAAAAAACATTCATTCAAATGTAAGTTTACTTGGCATCTACTACATTCCAGAATGTTTATTTGGCACCTCGTATATTCCATCATCTTTTCACCCTCAGAGACAACAACAAAAACACAATGCCAGGTAACTCCAAACCTAGAGGAAACACATTTATCTGTTTGCAGCACAATCCCTAAGGACTTAAGGACAAAATGTCCTCACTACAGTTGATTTTCTCTAAATAAATTAATTTCAGTGTACCCTATAAACAACTTATGTGTTTTAACCAAAATGAAGAAGTCATTAGAGAGTCTGAATGTTAAAAGAATTCTGTATCTAAAGTGAAAAATCACACATGATTTCCCACTGGATCAAAAAACAAAAAAGGGTTTAAGTAAGACATAAAGTAGCTTACTCAAAGCATAGAAAACATGTGGTCAGCCAATATTCCCTTGGATTTAGCATTTTAAGTGGAAGTGGCTAAATGTTTGTAGATATTTTCAGTGATAAGGCACTTAAGAATCTTTTCATGCTTTAAATTTAATGCTGTTCAAAACTCTACCATCCCAAGAGGAAAGTGGATATTGAGTGGAAATGATCTGGAAGCAAAATGTAAATAATTCAGCTCTTACTATCCCTGGCAGCCATTAAAGACCGCTCAGTGGGCAAAATTGGGCACTTGAGCCAACATGCACCTTCAGCGCTGCTGTGCCTGGCATCAGGCATAGCCCCAGGCACTTCTCAGCGCGCTTCACTATGGAGAGGCTCTAGTTCCCTGCTGGTCTCTTTAGATAGTTTCTGACGATGTCTCCACAAAGGAGAGAAGGACATGGTCCAAACACAGTGGAAACTTTACCTTATGGTCATCTTTCTTGAGAAAATATCTCTGCCTGTTTAGGGACCCTGATCCTGCAGGGGAGGTGCATGAGGGATAGAACCCTTCCCAGGAACCATGTGCTCTTCCTGTTTCCAGAGGAAACAACAGGGTGGCCACATGGCCACTAAGCTTCTCTAAGAAGAGAGTGCCATTAGATGCAATGCCATGCAAAGAGTCAGCAGAGGGGATGACTGATTCTGAGGCAAATGCACAGACTAAGGAATAGATAATCTGCATAATGCAGATAAGGGGATTTCCAGTATTATTTAGTATTAGTTTCTGTACAAATCTCTAGGTTTTCACCTGGTTTTAAACTTTTACCATAGAAGGAACTACATACAGTTCCCTCTCTCTACACAGGCCTTGTTCCTGATAAACCCTGCATTTCGTTTAGTAATAAAATCAGTACCTGAAATACCAGACAGAAAGAAGAGCTCACAGAAATGCAGAAATCGCCCCCAGAGCAGTTCATTTAAAACAGCCCCCTTTAAAACAAAGGGCAGGTGATTCCTTTGGCTGATGTGCCTTATTTGTTTCTGAACAGGGCTGAATAGTCACCGCCTGACTGCCGGTTGCACTGACTACTATACCTCAAATATTTCTTCTCTGGATACTTCGATGCGGCAATGACCAGCTTGGGGTTGCTGAAGTGACAGTTCATGTCTGAGCACTTTTAGTTTCTGGACTAAATCTCGTTCATATCTCTGGGCAGGAAGCTCCTCGTCTTCCACGGAGGCTTCGCTGGGCACCGGCAGTGGCTGGCTGGGTTCCTTTAGTTGGCACTGGTGACTTGAGGGGAAAAGAAGTGGCGCAGTTACTCCAGGAGCCACAGTAAGGCTGCCATGAGCCACACCCCGCACCCTGAGAGGAGAGGTCAATACCCACCACTTCAGGGGCAATGTTTCTCTCTGATGACATCACTATGTACCTAGATGTGTAAAAATTGCTGATGGCCACCATTAACCTAAATATAGGTCTAGGGTACAAGAAAAGAGACACCCCAGTTCTAAGCAACCACTTATCTCGTACATTATAACTACACATAAAAACAGAAATTGCAGTCATTTATTACATACCTGTTACATACATATGACAATGGCCGATGCACTACTTGATGTGCCTTGGCAGTCAGAATGAAATGAGTGGATGGAAAATATTTTTAAAAGGAGATAACAGTGAAGGGAGATAATATGCACAAGAGCAAATAACGAGTGAAATCTAGCGGTAACCATTCCTCATATTTATCACCAAGAGATTTCTAAGCCCACTCATTAAGAACAAACTTTGGGTAAAATAAAAGGACTAGGATGAACAGTGTGACAAAGTGGCATTTGTCTTTGTTCAAGTTTTGCCACTAGTGTCAGCTGTCAGAAGAGCTTTGTGGGATATTTTGTTCTGAGAACACAAAAAACCTGGAACACTGGCTATGGTATCCAAGATCATTCCCAGTTCTAAGTTATTTAGGAATGATGGGCACAGGAAAAAGCCTGGCCCTTCCTGAGCGGGCTGTGTAGGCACGAGGGAAAAGCCTCACTTCCCTGCTTCTCACTTGAGGGGCCATCAGTGCTGCATGCCAGCGCTTCATCAGTGAAGCCCCCTGATACTATCATCTCCGTGCATTTTATTTAGGCTGCAAGAAAAGGGCAGCCACAACATATGGCTTCAGAACTGTTCACGGCTAATTTCAGATATTAAGATATGGAGGTGTCCACCAAATATTTGTCATATTTTGCTCATGCTTATTATTGTCCAACAAACAATGCAGTACATAAATTGAGAAAAATCTTAGTACAAACAACACATTAAAGTATAAATGGAAGAAGTCAACAAAGAGGTTTTAAAAAGTCTTACTTCATGATGTGGTGTAACCTTGGGTCTGTAAACTGGGTTGTTCGGTTATTATGATCTACAAAATATATTCTCCCAGAAACTGTACTTCTGACTTCCCAACCTGGTGGCAGTGGTCCAAGTTCATCACAATTCACACTGTTAAGGTCTCTACCAAAATGGAAGATACAGAGAGGTTTGTCCAACTGGGTATGTAGGAAGAAGACCAAAGCTTCAGCGACAGGAGCCACAGAGGTTCCTTATCAAGGTGTCTGTGTCCCGGTTCTGCTAAGATGGACAGTCATGGTGCTACTTACGCCAAACCCCCACTGAGTCCAGGCCTCTTTGCTGCAAAAAGCAGCAACATCCAACAGATAAAAATGGAACTTTCAGAGCTTACAACCATGATAAGGAACAGGGTCTATCCAGGGAATCTCATTTCTTATATGAAAGAGGGCCAAAATAGGAATAAGTTTCTAAATGCTGTCAGAAAACTATCTGAATTCACAGGTTAAATTAAATGCTCAAGGTCAGGAAGGTGTCTTCATTGGAAAGCTCCCAGAGAGCACCAAGTTTTTCAAGGCTGAGGGAGATATATTAACATGCATTCAAAAAATTGCGATACTGAGCAGCTGCACAAGGACGAGGCATTCTCATTTTCAAGTTGGCTTTTAGTTAAGCAAGTGTTTTTAATTCTAAGCTCTTGATTAATTATTTCAATACAATTCAGTCAGGTGGGAGCACACAGCATTACTGACCAAGATGCTTTTCTAATTAACACAAAAGGCTGTCATTTCTTACAGTGGGTACTAAAGAGACACCTCATTCATTTGCAGGTAATATTTCCATTCTAATTGTAGATACCGAACTGCAAATTCAACATAGACTTGGAAAATCAAAGACAGGAAGCTTATTCTCAGATGAAACAAATTATGAATAAAAAGAAAATGAGCATTACTAAAAATTTTATTAGGAAGTAATGCTATTCTTAAAAAAAGAAAAGAAAAAAATGGCAAAGCAAAGAAAAAAAGAAACTTAACTCCGTTACAGGGTGGGGTGGGGGTCTCTCTGACCTGGGCTCAGATGTATGGCCTTGTAGAAGGAATTCGTATAGAAAAGCTTCATCTCCCCCAGGAATGGTCCCCAAGGGACTGAGGCAATAGGGACAGTAAAGTAGAAGAGAGAAAGGGTAACAGAGTCTTTATATTTCCTTTTTAACTTTTTATTATGGAAAATTTTAAGCATATAAAAAAGTAGAGAGAGACCATGATAAACTACTACATAACCAGCTTCAACAATTATTGACTCGTGGTCAACCTTGTTTCAAATGTGCCCTTATTCGCTCCCCAACCCCAATTTGTTTGAAGCAAATCCCAGACATCATATCATTTCATTCATCAATATCTTTAGTTTAAAATGAGAACAACACATTATGAAGTGTACTGGCTTTCCAAGTAAACTGCTGGAAAAACGCTTGGATGGTGTGCGTTTTAGAAAACCTACCTTGGTATCCTGGGGTCATGCCACGTGCTAACTCCCGTCTGTGTGTGCAAAAAGTAAACTTGCCCCTGTACTGTTGTTCTTTGTTCTGCACAAGAAATTAGGGGATACAGTTATATAAATTCAATTCTGAGGAGAGTTTCAACCAATCCTCTAGTTATCTTCACACAGATTATAAGCTTTTTTTTCCTACGTTCTTTAAAATCACAGAGAAAAGGTCTGAAAGGGCCATGGTTAGCTTCTGCCTGACTCCAAGTCACAGCCCTGTATGAATGTCTGGGCATATCTTACTTTCTTTTGTGACTCCTACAGAGGAGTGCTCACCTTACTGAGCCATGCGCTAGATGGGACACCTTGATGTACGTGTGTCTTCTCAGGACTGACCTTATGTTCACCTCTGTTATCTCCATATGCTCTTGCTTCTGGTACTGTCTGGCCACATGTGAATTATATTTCCTCTTCTTCTGGGTCTTCTCCCTGTTGTTCTCATTTGTTGTCAAATGATCCCTTCTTTTCACCCTTACCCCATGCTGTTCTTTCCATGCTCAATCACAGAGTGCTACAAATACCCTCATCTAGCCTATACGTCATCTTGGTTCTCTTTGGTATTAATGTGCCTAAAGTTTTCATATGATTTTTAAAAAGAAAGATTGAAGCAACTGTTGACAATTCATGATTAGGAAGACTTATCACCATCTTTTTCCCATTACTTGTCTTTACACCGCCTAAACCATCAAATGGCACAGCCATGTAAACGTCAGCAGTTAAGGCATGTATAAGTTACTAAAGAGTTTTAAAAAATAAAGCTCTCTGAAACGCTGCAGATAACAGTTTCAATGGCAGGGTGAACTCTCTCACCATAGCCTTCAGGCAGCTCCGGCGACTGGTGGCCATGGGGTCGGTTCTGAGGCGTCTGTAGTGAACCGCGGACCTCAGGATTTCGAAGTCGCTGCGCCTGAATTCTTTGATCCTGACTTGGGGATTCCACAAACCTGCAGTTGCCTCCACCAGCAGCAGCACCAGTACTATCTGTGTAAGGGGCGGGTTCCTCCATGAAGCAGCTGAGGGGCCTTCCAGGCCCCGAGTCGTCATACACCGTTCTGGAGAGGAGAAGAGCAAGCAGGCATTGGAACCCCATAGAAGAGCCATGAGACTAGCACCTGAAAACTCCAGGCAATGCTGTCACACGTGCTCATTCTGCTTTCCTTTAACAATTTAGAGTGTTCTGGGTGCTTAGTTTTATAAAATTCATCATATCCCATTTAAATAGAAAGACAAACAGACTTGAGAGGAACAGGTGGCCAAACGGAGCCATATCTAAAGTGTCACCAAGGCCACCGTACAGTTTCATGCTAGGGTACAGCTGAACGACTGGAAAATAATCCTTGCACAATAAGGAGCTCGTGAAATGACATTTTTTTTTTTAATTTAAAGTCAAATCCAAATACTTGATTTTCCTTGTCACATAAAATACCACAATGACTTTAGGTACTTTTTAAACATAAATCTTCACTTCCTAAGCAATTTGAAGACAATTTACCTTAACAGGCTATTTTCTCTATAAACAAGTACATTTTAAAAACTACTTATATAAAGTTCAATCCCTGTACCTGCCAGCCACCAAAAAACCCCGAAACAAACAAACAAAAACTCTCAAAACTACTTATATTGAAAAATTTCAAATACATACACAAATCGAAAGACTAGTACAAGAGACCCCCCTGTACCCATCACCCAGCTACAACAATGACCATCCTGTGGCTGCTCTTCCAATTCCTTCCCTCTACTGGGTTATTTTGAAACCAGTCCCAACATTTTATCATCTCATCCTTAAATATGTCAGCATATCTTTTAGATCTAAAAGATAAGTATTTTTCCCCATTATCACAGCTAAGAAAATGTACATTGATTTTTTTTTTTAAAAGATGACCGGTAAGGGGATCTCAACCCTTGGCTTGGTGTTGTCAGCACCATGCTCAGCCAGTGAGCAAACCGGCCATCCCTATATAGGATCCGAACCCATGGCCTTGGTGTTATCAGCACCGCACTCTACCAAGTGAGCCATGGGCCGGCCTTACATTGATTTTTTTTAAAAATCATCAAACACTAGTCAATGTTCATATTTCTCCAATTATTTCATAAATCAGGATCCAAACAAAGTCCACACACTGCATTTAGTAGCTATGTCTCTTAAGTCTCTTTAGTCTCTTTTAATATTAACTTGTAGATTCCCCTTTCTTCCTTTTTATTCATTTATTTTTCTTGCAGGGTATTTGTTGAAGACATTGGGTTGTTTGTCCTATAGAGTGCCCCATTCTGGACATTGCTTACTGCATTCCCTTGGGGCTGTGTGACACATTCCTCATTCCCTGTATTTCCAAGAGGTATGTTAATATAGATCATCTCTCTCTTGTGATGTTGTCAGCAACTATTAGTGATTATTGCTTAGGTCCATTAATTCATGGGGCATTGTCAGATTGTGATAATGACCAATGATTTTTTGAGGTTTTTTGTTTGTTAGTTTGTTTTAGTTTGGGTTCCCCCCCCCCCAAGTGTCATTAAATATTCATCTATTTTTAACAGATTTGATGTGCTTTGATTCATTGCAGTTATAATTCTTACTGATGCTCAAACTGCCCCATCTTTGGCCAGTGGGAGTCTCTTTAAGTTGGATCCTGAGTCTTTTGGGTACAACCCCAACATTCTTTATAGCTTCCTTTAGAGACAAGTAAACTAGATCAGTTTTATCTCAAAGTCCTTGCATGAACCTCAATCATTCAGCACAGTGACGTAGGTAGAAGGACAGTTTCACATAGGCTGAGAGCCTAAGGCAGCAGAGACCTCAGCACGTATCACCACAGTTATACGTACCCTTCATTTTCTAACAGTCCTCTGCAGTCTACCACAGACCCTCCAGTGCCTATTCTGTCTCGTGTCTGTAAACTGACTAAGACAGAAAAGAATAGCTTGCATTAAAATCCAGTGGCATTTTATACAATTGTAACATAGTGAGCCATTGCAAATTTATGATTTATGTACAATATCATAAAAAAGTGAGGCATACGTACATACATACGCACATATATCTCTATGCTTTCAAATATGAAGCACTTTACTCCAATAGCTGAAAACCACCACATACCACTTGCAATATTTCTTGTAAACATGGGGCAGAAAAGGGGGCTCTGTTTCTCATGGTCTCCATAAAAATAACAAGATGCAATATTCAGTTCGTCTAAGTTATCTTATTTAAGAAGATTTTTATTTATGTTTAGTAAGGACACAAAGAGCGCTTTCAGTATCTGCAAAGTCTAGATTAATCTAAATGTTTACTCTCTATCTCCACTATGAACAACAAAGACACTTAAAAAGTTGTTCTCAGTTGTTCTTCCCCTGGCACAAGGAAAAGAAGAAAATGCAAACAGAAAGCATTCTGTGAGAGCTTTCAGGATGTATACCCACTGTTTATGTCAGGTCAAGCCTTCATAAGACAATACCTAAAAAGATTTGGGGTTATAAAATTACTCTGGTGTCTGCTGAAATACCATTGTCTTTGATTCCTTGCCACGCATACAGTCAACATTTGAGTTAACCTAAAATACTAATAAAAATGGGGTGGTTAACAGGATGAGCAACTTAAAGATAAGTCATTTCCAACAGAATGCCTCTAGTCAACACTTTGTAATTAGGACATTTTCATTTTTCATTCTAAATAATGCAAACCTTAGACTCTATAAATCATATTACATGGAATTCTTCACAAATCATCTTTGCTTTTTATAAACCATGGGTCTTCCAGAAGAAGTGATTTCCCAATTCTTGCATATGTGGCCACCAATCTTATCATCTACCCTTGGATAATACAATGACAAATTAATTGTCCATTAATATGATGATTAAAATTACATTTAAAATTATAACCCTAAATCTTTCTGTACCTGGGTTATAACTCAACTTTAAATGTCAGGATGAAGGGAATTAGATAAAATAATAAAAACTACACAGGACAAAACTTTCTAGTACTGAAGAGATGACCCATGTATGTGGTTTGTCCTTTGAAGTATGTACCATCATCAGTGCCTACATGGATTTCTCAGTGATGAAGAGTTGAATGTTACGTTCTGTAAAAGCATCTCTTTATACAGACGAGAAAGTTCTTACCCACTATTTGGCCACGAACTGCATCAGTATCTGAGGGATTTAGTTTGCATAGATCCAAACGCTGGTCTGCAAACAAACAATTCAAAACTTAACCCAAGGAATGTTAACTAGAGAGGAAGGCAGGAATTCTGTATTCAGCATTCAAAAGAAAAAAAAAAAAAAAAAAGATGCCTCATAATCTTCCTTCAGTTGCATTAAGAAGCAGAAAAGCACTTGGTTCTTACATCCAGTATCTTTTAATCTGCTGATGGCATTGGAGAGCAGCCGCACACAGCCCAGGAAGCCAGCTCCCTGTTTCTTGTGAATTTTCTTGTGGTTCCACACGCTGATGGTTATAGAATCAGTTTTCCCAACATATCTAAAAAGAACATGCAAAATCATTTTTAACTGTATTTCTGAATTATGATATCTCATTCAGATTTTTATCTGATTGACTTAAGAAGCCTTTTAAAATAATATTGGCTCTACATTCCACATATAACAGGCATTCAATAAATACACATCTGCTAACTTCAATGGGCTGAGAAAAAGGACTACAATGAGTTATGTAAGGAGCACACGACAATAATAATCTTATAACGGATCTTATAATGGATATTTTAGGACAATGACATGATTAATAAATTTCCATCAATTAGGATTAATATGGAATATTACTTTGCAACAAGGGACTACTCATAAGCCCATAGATCCATTCAAAGTACACAAAAGGATACTAACCAAGACATTAAACCCCCACTTACTCTCAGTGCAAGTCAAACATAGAAAGTAACTTTTAGGACAAGAATTGATAAACACTTTCCAAGCCACTTATGGAACCACAGTATAATTGAAACTGAGTCTAAGAATATAATTACTAAAAGACCCGCCCAAATACAGTATAATTTGTATTAATAAAAAATAGTCATTTAGTATTACTTTGATTAAAATTTCTTAGCAGGGACATGGAAACATGGGTGCATATAAAATAGTGATCTTTAAAGTACAATCCATTTTTTGAATGAATAAGAAATTATCTGATATACATTCAATCATGCAAAACTATATTTTCTCTTGCAGAAAATATATTTGTACTAAAAAGCAAAATTTTAAAAAATAAACAGAAATATATACACATAATAATGAATTTTTAAAGTAAAAACTTCAACTAGGTTTAGGGTTTTCCTGAGAAACAGTAGCATGTAGGGTACATGGATTATGGCCTTTTTTCTGCTAAGATGACCAGGAGATTGACAAGTTTGAGGAGCATACTTATGAACCAAACCATAAAAAGCTATGAAAATGCCAAATGCAAGAACTTCCAAGTACATGAATTCTAAAATTAGGCAATATAGATTCATTTGGCTAATCGCTTTTGTTATCAATAAAAAGTTAGTAATCCTTTTTTTTTTTTTAATTAAATGCTCCCCTTAAAAGCTAGATATTTACCTTCCTGCCACTCCCCAAATGGCTTATAGAATGTTGAACTTACAGATCATAGTGTTGGTTCCACTTTGGGTCCAGCGTGTTTTTCACAGTGTCGGTTGAGTGGCACTGCCCAGACCCATCCACAACAATCTTTGCAAAGGGGTCAGGGAGTCCTAGAGGAGAAAGGACAGCCACACCTAGATGAGATTATAGATCTATCATCGTGATACAGAACACAGTCTTTTCAGGCTAAAGGGTACTTCAAGATCATCTAACTTGGGAAAGAAAATTATCATTGTACATTTTATGCTCTAATGTAAGGTTAGTTTCAATGGCAAAATAAGTTTATTCGATTTAGCTTTTTAAGAGAGACAACCCTGTATGCCTCCAAATAGGCTTAAATTCAAATTTCCATTCCTGATGAGCACTAAGTGGGACTAATTAAGTGGAGGAAAAGGTATCTGAAATAAACTGCATTTTTTTTTTGTCCTTTTTGTGACCAGTTGCACCGCGCTCAGCCAGTGAGCGCATCGCACTGGCCATCCCTATATAGGATCTGATCCTGCGGCGGAAGCGCTGCTGCCCTCCCAGTGCAGCACTCTCCCGAGTGCGCCATGGCTCGGCCCTGAAATAAACTGCATTTATACTTTCCAAGAAATGTCCAGAAATCTTGTTTACCGATCTTAGCCTATGTTATTTATGGAAGCGAGAGTTCACCAAGTCTTAATTCAGTAAATCGCTGCAGGCTAGAGTATGAATCTGAGAGGTTTATTAGATCAGACAAGTGTCAAGGTAAGAGGTTTTGGAGACAGAGCTGAAGGCGAGCCATCACTCTGGAGTTTTCTAGCCACTTGTATAGTGCCTTTGAGCCTAAGTTTCTTAATTTTTAAAGTGTGAATAATACCACTTAAGAGCTGAGCAGCATTCTTGTGAGGATCAGAAAGTGTGTGAAGAACTGAATGCTGAAGGCACCGACTTTATAGTAAGTGAATTTCTTAAGTTAATAAGTGATTCCTTCCTTTAGAAAAAGATTATCTATTTATTTTTATACTTGCTTTCATTACAAGGCTTTTAAAGTGTGATTTAATTTATGAAATTTGATTATCAATTTTACTCAAACCCAGCTATTTTATAGAAAAATATCCTATTTGTATTTAAGCTGAGAGCACGACAGCCAGTGGAAAGCAATACACTAATGGGTGGGGAGGCAGAGAAAGCAGGGTGTGGCTGGAATGGGGAATGAGAGAGCTCCAAATGAAGTTTGTCAAACCATGGTTTCTTTTTTAGTAAAGGGCAAGACTTTCAGGAGAATATGCCTAGTGTTTTTTAAAAAGTTTAAAATTTCGGAAATTCATGAATAATATTAATACTACAAGAGAGCAAAACTGGGTGTTTACTTACTGAAGAAGTCTTTTTTGGCAAGGTTCTTGGCACATAATACTAAAAACAAATACACAAAAATGATGAGGGTTAGCATTCATGTACAAGATTTCCACCATAGTTAGTCTCTATTTGCAATGAAAAAAAAGCGGTTCTAAAAATTACCTTTGCTGAGGACTTATCTTTCAAATTTAGTATCGCATTAAACAAAAAACCAACAACTATCTAAAAAGCATTATCTCCTCAAATTGGGGATCAACTACAACAAATACAAAATCCTTTAGTTTACACTTAAAATCTTGCTTGGAACATACAGATGGATTTACTGATATACTCTTACGCTTCATAGGATCACATAAAGACCAATTCAAATAAAGACCTGAAGTATTTACCTTTATATCTACTGCTAACAACAAAAGGAGCTATGCATTTTTGATATTCTGATAAATAATACAATTTTGTAACTGTAAACTTTGGTATGTTGGAGAATAGAAAGCAAGGGGACAGTAGTAGAAAATACAAGGCCATTATCAGGGTGTTGATGACAAAGTGCATGTTAGGAATTTGGCACAGTGTTGGTATATAGAAAGAATGCAATTAATGCTATTGTCATTATCTTACTATTGAGGTGATATCAATTACTGTTAAGAAATGTTGTCAGCAGACCTGCTACACATTGAAAGTGCTACACAACAAGAATGCACTATTAGTACTTTGCTCTTTTGAGTGCTTCAGAAATTTCACTAATTTTTAAGAATGTAATGTTTTATTAAGGACTTATAAATATATTATTATTTTACAAAAAATATGTTCATATAATATATACTGCTCTGCAAACTTTTCACTTAGTATTTTTTTTTTTTTACATAACAGCATTATCAAGATTTAATTCACATACCACACAATTCACCCATTTGAAATGTATAACTCAGTGACTTAGTATATTCACAGGTTGGACAACTATCACCACAATCAATTTTAGAACATTTTCATCATCCCAAAAGACACACTACACCCATTAGCAATCACTTCTCATTTACCCCCAAACTCCCCAGTTCTAGGCAACCACTAATCTAGCTTCTGTCTCTGAGGATTTGCCTATTCTGGACATTTTATATAAATGGTACCATGTAAAATGTGGTCTCTTATGACTGGCTTCTTTCACTTAGCATAATGTTCTCAAGGTTCACCCATGTTGTAGCATGAATTAGTACTTCATTCTTTTTTATAACTGAGTAATCTTCCACTGTATGGATAGATGACATTTTCTTTTTCTGTTTATCGGTTGATGGACATTTGGGTTGTTTCCACTTTTTGGCTGTTATGAATAATCATGTACAGGTTGTTAAGTAGGCATATGCTTTATTCCTCTTCGTTATAAACCTATGAGTATAATTGCTGGGTGTCAAGGTAAGTTTATGTGTAACATTTTGAGGAACTGCCAGACTGTTTTCAATAGCATCTGCACCATTTTTTATTTTCAACAGCAGCATATGAGGCTTCCAGGTTCTGCTCGTCCTTATTAACACTTCTTACTGTCTGTCCCTGTGTTTTTGTATCTCTGTGGTTTTGATTTGCATATTCTCTGATGATTAACGACTGAGCATTTTTTTCGTGCACTTATTAGCTATTAGTATATCCTCTTTGGAAAAATTTCTTTTCCGATCTTTTCTCCATTTTTAAATTGGATTTTTTGTCTTTTTATTATTGAGTTGTGAGAATTCTTCATATATTCTAAATACCCTTATCAGACATATGAGGTACTTCAAAAAGTTCATGGAAAAATCAAATTGAAAGATAATATGAATCTTTCCATGAACTTTTTGAAGTACACTCGTATGATTTCTAAATATTTTCTCCCATTCTGTGGGTTGCCTTTTTATGTTCTTGATAGTATACTTTGAAGCCCCAAAGTTTTTAATTTTAATGAAGTCCAATTTATCTATTTTCTTTGGTTGCTTGTGCTTTGGGTATGATAGCTAAAAGGCGTTACCTAACCCAATGTTTTGAAGATTTACTGCCATATTTTCTTCTAAAAGTTTTATATTTTTAGTTTTTAAATATATATTTTGGTCTCTAATTCATTTTGAGTTAATTTATATATATATATATATACACACACACTCATATATTTATTTTCTCTATATATACGTATATATAAAAATGTTGTGAAGAGGTTCCTTTGCAGGTGGATGTCTGATTGTCTTAGTACCACTTGCTGAAAAGACTATTCTTTCCTATTGACTTGTCTTGGCGCCCTTGTTAAAATCAATTCACTGTAAATGTGAGAGCTTATCTGGGGTCTTTCAATTTTATCCCACCTATCTATATGTCTCTTCTCATGCTATGACCACACTATCTGATTACCATAGCTTTGCACTAAGTTTTGAAATCAGGAAGCATGAATCTTCCAACTTTTTTTTTCCCAAGAGTTTCTGGCTATTATGGATCTGTTGAATTTCCATATGAATTTTAGAAACAGCTGTCAATTTTGCAGCAAAGGACAGACTGAATTTGATAAGGATTGCATTAATCTATAGGTGAATTTGGGGAGGACTGCCATCTTAACAATATTGAATCTTCTAATCCATGGATGTGAGATGTTCTTCCACTTATTTAGATCTTCTTTAAATTCTTTCATACAAAATGCTTATGAACACAGGCACACACATTTACCAAAATTAGTTAAATACCATGTGCTTGAGCAAAACTAAAACTGAAGTTTTGATTATATCCTCAGGGCATTTCTAATACAGACATCATCAGAAGTTATTAATTCACAGAGCTGATTGAATTCCTTATGAAGATACATTTCAGGCCCAAATTAGTATTGACTAAATTATCTATAGTTTCTGATGATGAATTACTCATTTTCTTTTGAAATTTACAATTTCAAAGTAAGACAGATAACAAATTTAATTAAAATTTTATCTTTTGCTTTTTATCATGACAGGCAAGAATGAATGTATATATGTGATTATTATGATTTCACTTTAGCTCTCCAGAGATGTTCAGAGTGCCTGAGGTTATCTACAAAGAATATAATATGGCATAACTAAGTTTTCTCTTTCCTACTGCCTACTGTATACAGATAATGCATCTTAATTCCTTCACCACAAGCGATTTCCTTACTCTCCAATATGTACACAACCACATATTCTGCATTAAAATATTTATTCAGTAATACTGCACTACAGTGAGAATAAGAGCAAAAAATGTGTAATGTTAAAAAAGGAAAATTCAATTGCTAAACTTGAACTGGGTAGAATATGTACAAAAAGAACTAAGATGAGCAGTGAAGTTCCAGGCCATTGCTCCACCTGCTAATTAATCTAGCTTTTCTCTGGTGCATCTCATGGAACAAGAGAAAATCACGGGGCCGGCCCGGTGGCGCACTGGATAGTGCGCCGCTTGGGAAGCGCGGCGGCGCTCCCGCCCGAGGGTTCGGATCCCACATGCAGACCGGTTCCCGCTCGCTGGCTGAGCGAGGTGCGGGAGCAACACCGAGGGTTGCAATCCCGTTGCCGGTCCCCGGTCCGGTACGGGGGCAACACTGAGGGTTGCGATCCATTGCCGGACACGGAAAAAAGACAAAAGACAAAAAAAAAAAAAAAAAGAGAAAATCACAGACTGACTTAACAAATCACCTCTATCGTGTAGATTAATCTCCTGTGATCATCTGGAGTATATGAAGAATTGTCACTGAGGCAATAGGGGGATACGAGCTCAAATTTTATGTCAAAGTATGTCATTAATTTATGCCTGAATACTGAAGAAAACATCTGTAGACTTTCAAAAAAATAAATAAAAAGTAAATAAATAAATAAATAAATTCAACTTTGTTTTGTAGTTTTCAGAAGATAAGTTTTGCACTTCTATGAAATGTATACCTATTTTATTTTTTTTGATGCTATTGCAAATGGAATTGTTTTTTAGATTTAGTTTTCAGATTGCTCATTGATAATGTACAGAAATATAATTGATTTTTGTATATTCATCCTATATCTTGCAACCTTGCTGAACAGGGAAAGCATTCAGCCTTTCAACCTTGAGTATGATATGAGCTGTGGGTTTTTCACAGGTGCCCTTTATTAGGTTGAGGAAGCTTCCTTCTATTCTTTCTAGTTTTAAGTGTTTTTATGATGAAGTGGTATTAGATTTTGTCAAATACTTTTTCTGCATCTATTGAGATGCTCATTTGGTATTTGTCTTTTATTTATTGATATGGTCTACTGCATATTAATTGATGTTCCGATGTTAAAACAACCCTGCATTCTAAGATACATTCGACTTGGTCATAGTGCATAATCTTTTTAATATGCTGCAGTAATCAATTTGCCAGTATTTTGCTGAGGGACTTTATGTCTATATTCATAAGGGATATTGGTCTGTAGTTTTGCTTTCCTTTGTTGTTTTTGTCTAGTTTGGGTACCAGGATGATATTGGTCTCATAAAATAAGTTGAGAAATGTTACATCCTTTTTCTTTCTTTTTTTAAGAGTCTGTGAAGAATTGGTATTAATTCTTCTTTAACATTTGGTAGAATTCACGAGTGAAGCCATCTAGGCCCGGGCTTTTCTTTGTGGGAAGTGTTCTAAACTACTAATCCAATCTCTTTACGTTTTATAGGCCTATTCTGATTTTTTTTCCTTCTCTTCTTTAATCAGCTTTGGTAGTTCATGTCTTTCTAGAAATTTGTTGATTTCACCTATCAGTTTGTTGGCATACAGTTGTTCATAGTATTTACTGATAATCCTTTTTATTTCTGTGCAGTTGGTAGCATTTCTTCTTCAGTGTCATCTTTATACCCTTCCTTTCTACCTGTCTTTTTTGTGGATAGATCATAATTTATTACAGTCCTGCTAGTGTTTTACTTCTTGTTTCTCTGACACAGAAGTAATATGTACTTAAAAATACGGAAATGTTTAAACAGAAAATGCACACCTCTAAAACCTCAGCATTACTCTTTGTTCAGCATTTGCCTGGCTGATCTCCCATGCTTATTTTTCCTATTGAGCTTCAGAATCATTCTGAGCAAGTTTTTAAAAAAACACTTC